AGTTATCACCCTGCACTCCAATGGGCAGTATCATACCCATGGCAGCACACTGATTTATTCTGAAGTCTATAGAGACTTAGCAATGGCTCTTATCACAAATAATTTTACATATACAATAAACTGATTCTCAGATCATCTCAGAAAAGTTGGAATGATTTATTATCTGATTTTTAATATTTTTTTCAGGGGAACCGGAGATACCATGATAACAGCGTTCAACTATTCAGATACTCAGGCTTGTTAACTTCTATGGAAAAGAATAGGATTCAGTTGCTACTAGCACACCCAAATTCATGTGTTCACAATCCTAATGTAGCTGCATCCAGAATCAGACAAAATCAGCCACCTAACCCCTTTCCCACCCACTGTAGCAGTATTAAAAATAATACTGTATTTGTTACTGTATTTGATGTTGATAATTGAAATTGTCAGTTCAAACAAGACTGAATGCACACGGAAAATGAAACTTTTTCATCCCTTGCCAAGTTTTCAGAGGAGTGTGTAGACTTTCTGTGTTATCACTGACCAGTTGTGTATTTTCTCTGTCATCCCTGTGGTTAAACAGTAGGCTCTCAGGCTTTGACAGCAGAAAATTAAACCAAAAGTTTTTAAAACATAACCATGACTTTATCATTTCTCAGCAGTCCTACCAAAGCCTGCCTGCCAGACCTGCCCAGCAGTGGAGGAATTCTTTACACACAAAAGAGTTCTTGAAGTTTTCTGTGACAGTAACTTTGGTAAGTCCTTGCTAATATGGCTGCTATTAAAGAGAATAACAGCTCTCCTTCTAAAATGCTTTGAAATTAGGATTACAATAATGACAGTTTCTGCTGTAATTTCAAAGGATTAAGAGTTTGGCTTTTAACTTTGAATTGTTTTTCAGAATATGTTCTTTCAAATCATAATATAAGGAGGATTTATTTTGCATGAAAGATTCATCAATGATCTAGTTTACAACTAAACAGCTCTTCTGTTCTTGTTTAGTTGGCTACACTGTAGAAAAACATGCTTTATGGAAAATATTTCTGGCAAAAGCTGCCAAATAAGCAGGTTTGCCTTTTATTAGTGGTTAAACCAAAACTAAAGCTTTGGTATTTCACTAGTGAACAGTATGTCGTTGATATTTGTGTGTATGAGTTTTTCATAACACAAAGCTCACTGAGGAGACTCAGAAAATCAAATCAGTAAAAGAAATTCTTACTGGTGATACAAAACCAACACCAACAGCTTTCAATATCTAATTACCCAGAAAGCCTGACATACAAGGTGATGGTAAAAATAAATTACTCACTTCTGTGAAAATATTTTTGCTAGTTGCCTAATTCAACATAAAAGATCTTTACTGCACACCTTTAGTTTTAAACATTTTAAAATGTATACCGCTGCTAGAGAAGTCCTTGCCATACTCTATCAGCATAAATTATGACAGTATTTTTAAGGAATCATCCTGCTTTCATTGGTAGTGTTTCTTTTGGCATGCAAACAAATGGAGTGACTCACGTGTTTCCTTTTTTTCCTTAGCAGTGAAAGTAAAGCTGTCCAAGAAGAGAACAGTATTTGGCGACCAAGAGTATAACATTGAATGCCAAGTGGAATTCATTACCCAGGGCTCACTCTTGCCTTATGAAACTCAGAATATGATACAGCAGTGGCTGCTTATCAATGAAAACTGTACACAGAGGATGACTCCAACCCATCGTCCCATGGTGTATCTCCTTGTGGGGAATATTGAAGAGGGCATCATTTTAGTAAAACAGGTTTATCGATGGCAGAGGAGGGACTCCCAGCTGACTTTGGCCACTCAGAAATGGAGATACCATAAATGCCTGTAAATACTTATCACATTATTTGTAAAAAGATGATTATGCTTCTCATAACAAACTTATCTTGTAAATAGGAATGTATTATAAGTGGAATGTAAAGTCTTAATGTCTTTTAAAATGGTATTATAAGTTGAACTTAAAGCCCAGTGTTATCAGGCCTCCTTTCTGTAGTGTTACAGCTAATCACATGAAGTTTGAACTTAGCCAATCATGTATAAATGTTTATCGCAAAAAAAATTTTTACTATGCGCAAAACCTAGCATAAAACAGTTGTAATCCAGCTGACTATCTTAAATATATATTTCTATACCATCTGTTCTGCCATTTTCTCCAGTTACCTAAATTTTCCCTTGCTTAATGTTTCATTAATCCGCATCATTTTCTCCCATTATTTTGAAGTAAGGCAGCCCTCTGCTGGTCGCTTTTGCCAGAATCAAAGTAAAATAAATAGGAATAAGTAACCAAACACGATGTAGCTGGCCCCAGCCACAAGAAGATTTGATCATCGTGTGTCATTTTACAATGACAGAGCTGATAGTGCTCCACTGGAATCACAGTCAGGTACCTGTTACCTGAAGGTCCTTTTCGTTTTCAGACACATTACAAAAGCCAACGTATAAACTTTACCAGTTGTCTAAGTGGTCTGCAGGGAACTAATAGAGTAATAATATTCAATAAATGAGAAATATTACAGGTGCCACATGATTAGCATCCTTATTGTCAGTGCAGTACACTTATACTAAAGACTGCATGAAGATGGCCAGACCTTGACTTTATTTTAGTTTTATAAATGTGTATAATAGACACAAAACCAGGTAATTGATAATACTCAAATTAGAAGCTGTTTCAGCAATACAGTGTCTATTATGGTAATATTTTCTTGAAACAAATATGGCAATGTTTATGGTCAGTAGCTTTCTAAAAGTCCCATCTGTACTGATCTGGGGTCCTGCTATGTCCTCTGTAAGTGCAGATTTGTATGCATGCTCCTGAAGGCACTTGCTCCATCACTTTCTACCATGAACTGTAAGACTAGAAGAAAGCGAGGGGAAAAAAAAGTTGACACAGTCTATGTTCAGTTTATACTGTATAATGAAGTCACTGCTTAGCAAAAAGTGGGTTGTTCCAAAGCACAGTTCATTTGATCCTGCTGCGTCTGGCCTGGTCCCTGCAGGAAAAGTGGTAAATATTTAAAGGCAGCTGGCTGCTAGGCACATGCCGGCTGTTGCTGAAGGGCCTTCCCGAGGCTCCTCCTCAGCAGCCCCCTGGGCTGTGAAGCCTCCCCCGACTGACAGGCTGAGATAATCAGGCTTGTTCAGCTTGGAGAAGGCCCCAGGGACACCTTAGAGCAGCCTCAGTGTCTAAAGGGGGCCTACAAGAAACCTGGAGAGGGACTTTTTACAAGGGCATGTAGTGACAGGACAAGGGGGAATGGCTTTAAACTGAAAGAGGGGAGATTTAGGCTAGACATTAGGAAGAAATTCTTCACTATGAGGGTGCTGAGGCACTGGCACAGGTTGCCCAGAGAAGCTGTGGCTGCCCCATCCCTGGCAGTGTTCAAGGGCAGGTAGGACAGGGCTTGCAGCGACCTGGTCCTAGTGGGAGGTCTCCCTGCCCATGGCAGAGGATTGGAACTGGATGATCTTAGGGTCCTTTGCAACCAAACCATTCTGTGATGACCTGCTCAGAACTGGCAGGAGAAGCATTGGCACCTGGGCTTGGTGCAGAGAGGTTTGGGCTCTGGTGCTGCCTGCTGGGAATGGGAGTCTGGCTGCTCTGCAAAAACGAAGGAGCAATCAGTTAAAGTTTTTATTTTATTTATATTAAAGGACAGCCTGCAGGCCAGGGGTGGTGGGGTTTTTTTTGGTTTTTTGGTTTGGGTTTTTTTTTTTTGCTTGCTTTGTTGCTGTTGTTGTTTTGGTAGGTTGGTTGGGTTTGTATTTCTCTTGGTTGGATTTGTTACGTACTAAAACCCAGCTCCCGTGGTTGAACCAGCCTTGGCGTGACAACACAATCCAGCCCGCCAGGCGCACTTCACAGTGAACGTTTCTTTGGTGTGTACTGCAGGGCTCCCCGGGACGCAGCGATGTGAGGAACAGCGGCACTACTGAGGCCGAAAACCAGGCTCAGGGGCTCCCATCCCGCTCCCGCCGCTCTCAGAGCCGGCCGCAGGGCGGGGACTCCCGCCGGCACTCCCAGAGTCGCGGCCGCGGGAGGAGCGTTCGGCCGAGCTGCGGCGCTCCCGGCGGCTGGGCCCAGGCGGCGGCTGAAGCGTCCCGGCTTCCCGCCCTCACCGACTCCGGAGGCTGGACCTGCCCGCGGCCTGCGGGGTGGCCCGGGCGCGGCAGTCCCACCGGGAGGGCGCCTGGGACTGCCGGGCTTCCTCGGCAGGCGGGCGGCGCGGAGCAGAACGGGCCCGCTGTAACGCGCCCTCCGGCGGCTCCAGGGCTTCGGTGTAGGCGGCCTGGCGGCCCAGTGTGCACCTTAACCCTCTTTTTCACACCGGTTTCTTTGTTTCTCTTAAATGCTTCGGGGGTTTTGGAAGACCGATAGAGTTTTGAACCCAGCAGACCCCTATAACTGTGTCGTCCGCGGTGTATAGGATGCTGCTTTTCAACTTCGTGGCTTTATAACTTAAGTTTTCACAAGTTGCTGTTTCCCTTCACATCAGCCGTGTCAGGTAAGTATCTCTGTGTAATGGCAGATGAGGAGGCCGGTGCTCAGGTCCTCAGCAGTCTTTGCGAAGCTGAGCGTGGACTAGAGGGGCTTGGAGGGGTGACACAGCCCCTTCACCTACACCACAAAGCCCTGCACCCAGGTCTCCAAAATGCAGGTAATCTTGAATCCTGCCTTCATGCATCCGGTTTCGAGTTTGCATTGCTGCCTGGCTCCTCCAGGAGGAGTGCTAAATGATTTTCTTTGATTTTGTTCTGTTAAGTACAAAGCCTAAAGTGCAGAATTGTCCTGCAGCAGATATGTGTACATATAGTCTCACTAGCTAATATAATATTAAATTTGTTTTAAGAGATTTTCTTTCCTGCCTGAAATACATGTCTTGGGATTTTTGTTTTGGTTATGTCTGTAGTAATGGCTTCGGGAACAGCGCTGATTTATGATGAGGAGATGACCACTCACAAACTACTTTGGAGAGAGTAAGTCACTGCCGTCGTTTTCATTAATAGATTCTTACCAGGACTTCTGAGAGAAGTACCAAGTAAATGCAGGTTTTGTAAATGTAATAGGAAACACCCAGTGGTAGATAACACTGTAATTTTCCTAGTAAATGGGAAGTCTTTCCTTTTGTAGAAAAGTTTTTATTTTATTCCCAGTTTGCATCCAGGTGCTGTGATGATAGTCTGAAACTGGATTTGAGAAGCTTTAGGTCTCCAGGCTGGCAGGCCTTAACAAGAAGTGTTAGGTTTAGGCATCTGAGTAGCCCCCTAAATAAAGTATTTTAAGCTAATTAAATAGTTTATAAACCTAAAGGATCATTTATCTTGTAGATGTGATATATGTTTATGAGCATATGTGGATATACTCACTCAGATAAAAGCTGACAATTAAATTCAGTTAGAGATTGGTATATGACACTTGCCTAAATTTACATAGATTAGGTTAATACCTTTGCAGTGCCAGAGTACCAGCCCATTGTTGTCTTCTCTCCCAAACCCACTTCTCCCCTGTTCACCTTCATTGTAATCTACAGCTTTTCATTTCAGCATTCCTGTGTCTGTAGTTAAGCATTGCTACTTTCAGTGGTGAGAGGGCAAACAAAAAATGATGCCATGGTGTTTCTTTTTGATTTAAGAACCATACATATTTTTCAGCTTGCATATTTTAGAAGCAATTTTTGGCCCAATTCCAAAGCAAAGAGTGTTTAAAGACTGTATTTCTCTTTTAATCCCACATATCACTCTATGAGGGTAATGAATGTTCTTACAATGCGAAATTAAAAGCTAGGCATTATGAAGTGTATTTGTTAGCTGTGGTAGTATGATTTTATAGTGATACTATTATTGCTTATTTTTAGTCCTGTTTGCGATATTGAAGTGCCAGAAAGGCTGTCTTCCTCTTATACGCAGCTGAAGTGTTATCATTTGTTGGAAAGATGTGTCCATGTGCCTGCCAGAGAAGGAAGCGAGGAGGAGATCCTGTTGGTTCACAGGTCTGAAACATACTTTCATCACCATTCAGGTTAATTCAATGAAGTAACAAATCTCATACTTCTAGGTCATACTTCACTCCATTTGAAAAGATCTGCTCCAAAACTTCCAGTGACTTCCAGTAATTTCAATGGAAAATGCATCACACTCAAAGTTAGACAGATGATGTTCAGTATGATGTAGGTGCTGAAGTATGAATCTGCTATTCCACTGAATCCCCATTCTCACTCTTTGGGTTCTTAAGCAATGAATGCTGATTTATACATAGGATCAGAAGTAAACTTCTAATCAAAATTGTGAAGAGACTTCAAAATGTGTAGAAAAATGAGTATTTTTTTAGAAAGATAATAACCTTATGTTTCTTCCAAGTGTCTTTGAGATAGAGCAAACTGAACAGAGAAACTTCACAGCTAATTCTGTCGGGGAACAGCAGCTTGCCCATTCTGAAGTCATGGCAATGAAATCTGCTCTAGTATTTTTCATTTCAGTGTGATGATTTTGCAGCCAACTGCATATGGTTCTGTGTGCTGCTTGTACACTCATTTGCAGTTGTCAGGGAGTGTGAGGGCAGCCTTCTGAGAGGCATGGGGAGTCGGGAGCAGAGCATGATGACATATAAGAACCCTTACTTTCAAAGCGCTCCTTACTTTTTTCACTACACCCTGCAACTGGCATTCCAGAGTATCTATTGGACTTGCAAAATACCACAGCCCCTTTAAACATACGTTCTGCTACTTTTCATTGCATTTCACATTTAAAAAATCCTTTTTAATTGCTTAGTGAAGTGTTGCAACTTTCTGTCCTCTGCAGTTCGGAATACTTAGAAGTGGCAAAAAGCACCCAAACAATGAATGAAGAGGAACTGAAAAAAGTCTCTGGAAATTACGATGCTTTCTTCTTTCATCCGGTGTGTAAGTTAAATTGCTTCCTCTGTGGGAGTATTTGTGTTACTGCATCCATCCAATTGACACTTTCCTAAGTAGGGCAAAATTTGCAATACATTTTTTTGCTATTTAAATAGACTTGCATTTATGATGTTATCTGTTTCAAGTTTAGTATAATGCTATAATTTAAATTGGCTAAGTGTCCTGTCATCTGTTTTTTAATTATATCATGCCAGTATAGCTCACTACCCAAATTTTAGCTCTATTTTTGTCACTTAATGTCACTGTAGACCATTAGTGAGCTACAAATCCTATCTTGGTAACAGTTGCTCTTGAATGTTTGGCTAGATAATGCAGGTGAGGTCCTTCACGTTTTGCCTCTGTAAGGTTTCATTCCTTACTCTCAAAGAGTTATTCCATTAGTCAGTTCAGTATGTCCATCCCATGTTTCTTAACTGCTCCAGAGAGAGCATCCTTATAAAGGATAAGGTTATCACAGGTAAATCTAGTCAAAAGCATATTGGAATCTGTGTTGTAAAATAATGCTTTCAACTATCTGCATACAACTTCAGTTGGGTAGAATTATCTCCAGACAATTTGCTGTTGGGGTACAAAAGCATGTCACGTGTAATTACTTTAAATAAGCTGATTAGTGATTGATGGCAACTATGAGTCTCTTTCAGAACACTTACCGCTGTGCCAAGCTAGCGGTAGGAGCAACTTTGCAGCTGGTGGATGCTCTGATGTCCGGAAAAGTGTGCAATGGAATGGCATTAGTAAGGTAAGAAAATAGGTGAGAAAGTTTTCACTTCTTACCAAAAATTCTTTTGTTGTAACTATTTAAAACTTTGGTTTAGACCTCCAGGTCACCACAGCCAGAGAAGTGCAGCTAATGGGTTCTGTTTGTTCAACAATGTTGCTATTGCAGCAGAATATGCAAAACTGAAATACAGTCTACACAGGTAAGTGCATGGTTGGCTCTAGAGAAGCTTTTCATACCCCAATTTGTCATTTAGATAACTCTGACATTGTACTGTTTTAGATTAATTTCTAGAGCTTTCTGGGCATCATATATGTTTTAGGTCAGTAAAACATATTAATCTATACCTATACCTCCTCTAGATTAAGATGCTGTGGTGGTTCTGCTGAATGTTTTCTTTTACTGATCTGTGCAGAATCCTGATTGTTGACTGGGATGTGCATCATGGGCAAGGAACTCAGTATATATTTGAAGAGGATCCAAGGTTTGAACAATTTTAGTTTTTTTATATTAGCTGGTAAAAGATTGCTTAACTCTGGAGAGAATAAGATTTCTTAAATTTCTAAAACTATAATTTTACAAAACATTCTCCTTGCTATTTTAGTTGTTGTTTTCTACTTGTTATAAAATAGAGGGGGAAATATAACAAAAAGAAAAATATGTAAATATACTCTATTGTAAAGAGTAGCAAACACAAAATGACTGATATGATTACCTTGGTTTGCCAGTAATAAGATCTCTCCATGTCAGTATTCAGGCAGTACATCTATTCTCTGTATTCACAGACCTCTCAGTTGAAGTATCCAAGTAGTAGTTGGATACAATACATGAGCTTTATATTGTTTTCAGAAAAGCCACAGAAGTAGGTTCTAGAAACAAGTCTGCTCTTCTAAAAATGCCCTGTCTTTGAGCTGAATGGACTGCATGCATCCAAGAAATTTTTAGCAGGTTAATTTTGCCACAGGACCTACTATGCTAAGTTTCACAGTCCAAGTCCCTTAAGAAAACTAAGGAGAAAAGACAATTCTATTTTATTACTTTCAATCAATGCAGTCACCAGGTTCAGGATATAAAGTCAGTTCCACAATAATTTGTCAAGTTGGATTTGTTATGTATATCTTTCAGTGTTTTGTATTTTTCCTGGCATCGCTATGAACATCAGGAATTCTGGCCATCACTCAAAGAATCTGATTATGATGCTGTGGGTCGGGGAAGAGGAAAAGGTTTTAACATAAATTTGCCTTGGAATAAGGTAAATGTTGTTTACAGCACAACAAAGCAAATGCAGTAGCTTTGTATCTCATGCTTTACATAATGCTTTCTGAGAAGTGTACTGCTTTTCATCCGTGGCAGATGTCTTAGCATAGTGTACATCCTTCCTGTCATTGGAATGTCTGCAGAGAAATATGGCTAAGAATGTGATAATGCTTTTTTCATTATTTTAGTTTTTTTTTTTATTTGTTTTTTGTTTTGTTTTAAAGAGGAAGATGTGCAAATATGTGCATATTTGTTTTTTCTATAATATCTTGCCATCAAATCAGAAAGTGTTTCAGGAGATGATTACATCCATCCTTGCTCAGCAGAGAACTGAAGCTCATACTTCAGTGGATATTAATGCACCTTACTTGAATTGAGTTTGTTTTACCTGACCTCATAATAAGGTTCCCTTAACTTTTGATACTATCATTCCTTAAAGTCTTAAAGAAACCTTAGAAAATTTGTTATTACAACAGGAAAATATGACCTTATTTCTGATATTTTGCAGGTTGGGATGGGAAATTCAGATTACCTTGCTGCATTCTTCCATGTGTTGCTTCCAGTGGCTTTTGAGGTATTTTTTTTTCTTCTCTGCTATATGAATAGCAAAACCAAAACCTCCTTCCTAAGTACTTCTTAAGCAGACACCTTTGAATGTTGTAGAAATACAGGAATTGCCAGTAGCATAGTTAACACCTTATTTCCGCTGGTATGACTGATGTCCTGATCAACTGAATAGTGTTTGAGGAATGTTAGCTTTTAGATATTCAATACTATGATCTGCAACTTCTCTGGAGGAATGAAAATAGTGTAAAAGTGTGATCTTAGTGTTTATTCAAGGAGAATCTTTGTGTTCATATTGTAGCTGAAATACCAGCTGAACATGGTACTGTTGAATTCCAGTACAAAATTGAAAACAGGGCATAAGAATGTGCTACAACTCTCTCTGTTTTATAACAGTTTGATCCTGAGCTGGTCATTGTCTCTTCTGGATATGATTCTGGAATTGGTGACCCCGAAGTAAGTAACTTGTGGCCTTTCTGTTGTCAGACATAAATCTGTTTTGATCTACCTCTTCAATGTCCTATGAATATCACTTTCTCTGAGCTATAAATACATGTTTGAGTCTTTAAGTTGACCCAAGCTACTCATTAAATACTACAACAAAACATGTAAAGGCAAATTATTCAATAGGCATAATTATAGGGGGGGGGTTGCACCTTTAAAGCGGTTGGTTCAGCATTTTGTTATATACAATAAAAGGCAAGTGTTCCAGTATTCCAACTCAGACTCATGTTTTTCAGATTGTATGGGGATTTTTTACCAATGTTTTGGTTCAGGGTTTCATCTCAAAATGTTTTCTTTGATTTAGGGTCAGATGAATGCCACTCCCGAAGTTTTTGCCCACCTTACCCATTTCCTGATGCAGTTGGCTAATGGCAAGCTGTGTGTCATCCTAGAGGTAATGACTTGTAAAATGTACCCCCAGGGGAAGGGTCTTTGTATTAGAGCCATGTAGGGCAAGGTAGAAGCTAGGAAGTAAAAGTTCTTGACAAAATAATTCATTCTTTTTATCTTTTGAGAATCAGGAATGCAAAAATGGCTAAGGTTTGACAGTACTGTTATACATTAAAAGAAATACATGTCTTAAAAACTGGGTTTGTTTTGTTTTTTTTTTTTAACTTAACATTTTGAAAAAGGAGCATATGGTCATTGTCAAAAAAATCCATATCCTCCACAAATATGTTCAGTTCTTGTAAACAGTGACTAGCCTGCTGCTCTGGACAGTCCCACACTCATTAAAATGTATTTAGTGAATAAGCTGCATTACCATTACAATTTATGTCTTAACTCCAGGAGTGCTTAAAAACCCCTTAACCTAAATATACTTTTAACTTAGTAATGGAGCCTTTACTAAATTCCCCTCCTAATGCTGATGGTGTGACTGCTCCACAGATGGTGTGCAGGAAGTCTGTCATCTGCAATCTAGCAGTTTTCAATCTGTCTTCAGTTGTTCTCCAAATTCTGCAAAACCATTAGGACAATCATGTCTTAAAAGTGTCAGGCTGAGGGAGATTTCCCATACACAGACATTTTAGAAGACAGTGATATTTGCTTTCTAAGGAGTCTTCCATCAGAATTGATGAAGATAGCGTATCACAGATAGGAAAGGAGAAGGCATGTTTCCAGGGTTTGCATCAAAAAGTCATGTCTGATTTCAGAAATTAATTGAACCATGATAAAATGAGTCAAACCATAGGATGCCAGTGAATTTCAGAAAACAGCCTCTAACTTAACTGGTCTTATATTGGAAGTCATTGACTTAGATGTACTTGCGTATCATCTTCCATTTCTATAATTTCAGATATATTTCAAAAGTTTAATTGTTTTCCATGATGATATTCAGAAGGATGTTACAAGTACTTGTTCCTTAAGTGACATGAAATACCTTTTTTCTAGGGTGGGTACCATTTGAAGTCATTGTCTGAATCCGTCTGCATGACTGTAAGGACTTTGCTTGGAGATCCTATACCTCAAATAACTGGAGAAATGGCACCTTGCCTAAGGTAAGCATATGAAGAATTTTAGAACCACTCATGTATTTATCACAGAGGTAAAGATGTGCATGCTTTGAACATTTTGCTGAAGCAAGGTTTTAATGTGATGCTTTATACCATGCTTCAGGAAGTGGTACACCTGGTTTGGTGGTATATTAAGGTTTTAATATGATGGTTTATATTATCTTATTTTCTGCTCTGGATAACTTAAAAAAAAAAAAGTCAAGGTACAGTTTTGTATACGTCTGTTTCTGAAATTACTTCAAGTTGTGAGAATTTAGTGGCTTATAATTTTGGACCTTGTTATCCTGTAGAGATCTATCTCACTCAAGGCTGACACAATCCTACTGTAATCAAGGCAATGCCAGTTAACAAGAGCCAGCATTTGGGAAAGAATGTATTAGCAAGGATTAGTTCTTCAGACTTCAAAGCCATTTCATTGCTGTAGTACAGCAATAGCTGGAGCTGACCTTTCTCTTGTCAGTGAGAGCTTATTCTGTGTGGAGCCAGTTGTGATGACTCCTCCTGTTTCTGGAATTTGGAGCATCACAGCTTGGGGTGCAAAAGCACTTGACCTGAACCAAGATAATTAAACTTTGAGTCTAACTTCTTTTTGGAGACAGTAGGACTGTGTTTGCACAGTGGTGAATCTGACCTAGGAAAGCATTCTGAACCTTGGGCCTCAATCAGTCCCAGATCTAAACAGCACCTTTCTCTCTACCTGTCTATACTATCTCCCCTACATCTCCAAGTTCCATCCTCAGTCCCTCTCCCACCTCAATAGTTGTCCTGAGTTTTTTCCAGTAGTAATGCTTCTTATGCATTCTGGTGGCAGCTCCTACCAGTTGGCTGCACTGGTTAAAACTTGGATCTCAGATCAGTCAGGGAAGTGGTGTAATATACACAGGCTGTGTATAAACTCTGATGGAGCAAAGGTGGTTATTTTGCTCCAAGCACATCCCATACCCCCTGTATCACTTTTTCTCTACCAGTTCCAGCATCTGTTTGCTGGTAATACAGAGTTGATTACATATTTATCCATTATATTAGTCAAGCACCTGAACACCTTACAAATAATCTCCAAGTACACAGAATTTCTCCTGGGTTTAACATGATCTTAATTATGTTTGTAGGAGAGCTGACATAATAGGACCGTTTTCCAGTAGTTCTGCAAATAACCAGTGATAAAAGGGATTTCAACACAAAGAATAGCAGGGAATGCAATTTGCTTGGTTACTGAACAGATAGGCTTGCTTTTGAGTGAATCCAATGACATCTTTACATTGTGTAGATAAAATGTCTGACAAAGACAGGTGAAACCCTGCCTCTCCTGAAGTCAGGCACAGGTGTGCTTCCTCCAAGATCAGGGTTGGGATTTCACTCCGTGTGTGTAAATGTGTGCACATACTGCATGTGTTGTTCTTCACTTTTCTTTTTCTTACTTTTGAATCTAATCTTTCCAAGCAATCTGCCCACTGGCTCTCATTCTGTTCTGTATTCTCAGAGGAGACCAGAGCTTGTTCATTTTCAGTTGGATTTTTTTTTGTTTTGCTTTTTCTTTGAGGTACATTTGTTTCCTTTATTTTCATTACTGCTAATACTGTTTATCCTGTTTCCTTTGTAGTGCTGTTGAGTCTATTCAAAATGTGAGAGCAGCCCACAAACCCTACTGGAAGTGGTTGATGTATGAAGGTAACTGCTTCTCTTTCCTCAAGCAAATGTGATTAGTAAATGGATTCATATAGAAATTCAAAATGATTAAGATTAATACCAATGGATTAAAATAATTGAACTACCAGTTATTCATCAACTGACTGATGAAGCAGTTTGAGGCTTCATTCAAGGCCATGTCTTCAGCTGGTCTGAAAAGAACTTCTGAAGCTGATGTTTGGCTTGATGATTATGTTTGCATCATGCCAAAAACTAGCACTTTGATATCTTTGTTTGAGGGTGCTGTTTTCTGTGTTGGAAGTATGGGCATAAGGTTTATTGTAATTTATGACCTTTTGCTAGATTAAAACAAATGTAGCAGCACTGAAAAGTAACATCTGTGGCAGGAAACATTGTAGCTGGTACATAGAAATAAATATGCATATTACGAATACAGATGTACTGTTTCGTAATCTACATCTGTACGTTAATAATATAATTATTGCAATATATGTAGCCAAATGTTAACGCACTGCTCGGGGATTAATACATGTTAAGCCCCCTCTTTTTTTTTTCTCTCTCTAGACGTATCATTTTTACAAAACTTGAGCACCAAATCACACCTACTAACAAAAGCTGATCCAAGTCCCTCCACAGAGCATGAATCTAAGATAACTAACAACAACAAAATTGTTGAAGTAGAAAGGTTTTTGGAACTGCACATGAAAAACATTCTATTTCCAGTGCCTCCCATCAAAACAGCAACAACAATTGACTCTAAAGGGTCAGCACATTTTCTCCCTGGACCTGTTCATTTGGTGAAGGAAATGGACAAAAGTGAAATCAAAGCTCTTGTCAGGTTGGTCCTGTTTATTTAATTTTCAACCTAATTACGAGGATGAGAGGTCTCTGTGCAGACTGCCACCTAGCTCTGTCTCTGCCATGGCCATCTTTTAGGCTTTAGTCTACTCAGTTATAGTCAGAGTTTCTTCTTTTGAAAAATTAAGACATTGGTGTTAGTTATCACTCACAGCCTTTAGTTTAGTTCTTTGAAGTACTTAATCAAAATACTTTCAGATAAAACTATTTCAGTGGAGATACATAGATAAAACTGTTAGATAATTAGATAATATTAGATAATAGATAAAACTATTTCAGTGTTATCATCTTCCTGATAGAGCTGGGGTTTTGAGAATCAATGTGTAGCACCTATATAAATATTACAGCATCAGTACTAACTGCAAAATACTGTTAACTGTGTCCTTGTTGAACATATTGCCTCTAACCTAAGTTTTCTTCATACCATTTATTTTACAGTGGCTTTTACGTAGACATTGTGAAAGAGGACAAAACTCTGTTCTCTCTTGGCAGTGTGTTGGCTGTCCTAGATAAAATACTTAAGAAGGAGGTAATAATAAACTGTTTCAATCTTGGGGGTGGAGGAGGCTAGGAGGAGAGTTAGCTTCCTCTGACTTTTCCTTCTACTGTATTGTTGTCCAGATATTAGTTACTGTGTAGTTCACAACCCTCCTATCCTCATCTAGAATGTGCTTAACTACAAGAATATTCAAGATGAAAAAAAATTATGTAGGGATTGTGGTTAACCCAAAGACATCTTTCTAATGATCTTTGGGCAAGACATTGTGTTGCCCAAAGAATATGAGCCAGTAAGAACCTTCTCATCACTATCAGACACAGAGGTGAGCCATGCATTCTGTCTTCCAGCTGAGGGGAGCAGAAGCTGGTGTGTCAAGCACTAGTGAGCAGCAGCAAGAAATCTGAACATGAAATGTAAAAAAAATTTCCTCTCTTAATGCACAGTTTTGCCTCCTGTCTTAGGGGAGACTTCTGCATTACCTTTCAGTACAAGATGCCGTGCTGTGTGCAGCTGCACCCATTTGCCATTATCTGTACAACAGCTTACTCATAGTAAATTTTGATTTATACGTGCACACACCCCCTGCCAGCTAGTGAAGCTGTTAAAACCCCCACTGTGCTGTGATTCTGAACAGAGTAATTCCAGCTCGGCATTCTGATTCTTGCAGGGTCAGGAATGAAGAGGAGGCAGGCCGGGAGGGTACATGTTTGTATTTATGTATAAAAAGTTGGAGAAGCAAAGAGGAAAAATTGCAAACAAGTTAAGAATACTACATCATAATAAATTAGTCTTTCCCTTTGAAGAAAAAGCTCTTTCTAAAGTACCAGGCCAGCAAGTAAGAGTAACTGCCAGAATGGCCTTTTTCTTTTAAGCCACCTTCTTGTTGTTGGAACGGATATATGTAGATCTCAAGGACAAACTTCTAATGTTGTAGACTGCTCATACCTCCGGGAAAGACTATAAATAGAAAAAAAAAAAGTAAAGAAATAGAACATCCCATGAGCTACAGAAGCTAAGCTGAGCTTTTTGTGTTGACATATACAAAGAGGAGTGAGCAGAGAGAGCATGCATTATCTTTTTGCTTAGCTTTCATGTGAAGTTCAAAGCACTACATAACATAAATGAAACATGAAAGGCTGAGTGAGTAATACCGCCATTGAATTTTCCAGAAAGGAATAGCTTGCCTAGGTTAAAGGAAGAGTCAGAATTAGAATTCAGGGATGACCTCCTTTACATAGGATGTATATTTCTGATGCAGTTTGCCTACTGGCGCACTGAGTGTATCCAATCTGCAGGCTATCTAAGAGAACCAGTAAATATGACCTTCTCCTGCAAAAGCTATTTTTACAGTTGCCTTTTAGCACAGCACCATACTTACGAAGTTACAGAACAGCCCTTGGTATAACAATCAACTATGGCCTTTCTGTAGGAAATGAATTAATAACATTTTCTTAACCCTACTATGATAGATCAATAAGATTCTTTTCATACAGCAGTAGCTTTGTTTGAATGTCACATCTAAACAAGAAAAAAGACAGTTGATACAAAAGGCATCATCTTGTGCAGCATTAATTCTGAATGAGAAATCTATTTTGCAGGTATGCAATGGAATTGCAGTATCCCCCACTGCTGTGTCTGTTCCTGTTGCACTAAGACATTCTGTTCAGTTTGGATTTCAAAGGTGAATTTGTATCTTTTGCATTTGGGGATGTTTGACAAAATGTAAAAATAAGATACTGGGTGTTTGAAGTATGGCAAACAGCCTTCAAAGCCTTAATTTTAAAACAAATAGCATCTCCATATGCAAAGCATTTTCAGTATCTAGTTAGGCAGTATTGTAAATGCTAGTGAACCCCTTTTGCCTTACCAAAGGCAAAACACTTGTAAGGATGACTGCTGTGCTAGCCTATGTTTTCTTTGTCAGATTTTTATTGTCTTTGGTCCAAGTACATTATCTTGGTTTCATTTTTTCTGGAAAGTATTTGGTGGGTGAAAAGAACTTCCCTTGAGCTGTCATAAATGTTTTTTCTTTGTACTTTTAATGGATCAAATTCAGAAACAATATACATTATTTTTATGCATGTAATCTACATGCAAACTCTTTAAACAAATTGCACTAATAGAAAAAAATACTTGTGGATATAAATGTATGCATATTTTTCTTTGTTTTCTGCAGAGTGCTTTGTATATTTGTTGGGGACATGCAAATCAGACCAAATACAGAAGATGGGTGAGATTTCTCTTTACTTCATAGAATCATAGAATGTTTAGGTTGGAAAGGACCTTAAGATCATCTAGTTCCAACCCCCCTGCCATGGGCTGGGACACCTCGCACTAAACAGTGTTGCTTAAGGCTCTGTCCAGCCTGGTCTTGAACACTGCTAGAGATGGAGCATTTACCACTTCTTTGGGCAACCTGTTCCAGTGCCTCACCACCCTCACAGTAAAGAACTTCCTCCTTACATCCAATCTAAACTTCCCCTGTTTAAGTTTTAACCTGTTACCCCTTGTCCTGTCACTACAGTCCCTAATGAAGAGTCCCTCCCCAGCATCCTTGTAGGCCCCCTTCAGATACTGGAAGGCTGCTATGAGGTCTCCACGCAGCCTTCTCTTCTCCAGACTGAACAGCCCCAACTTTCTCAGCCTGTCTTCATACGGGAGGTGCTCCAGTCCCCTGATCATCGTGGAGGCCCTCCTCTGGACTTGTTCCAACAGTTCCATGTCCTTTTTATGTTGAGAACACCAGAACTGGACACAATACTCCAGGTGAGGTCTCACAAGAGCAGAGTAGAGGGGCAGGATCACCTCCTTCGACCTGCTGGTCACGCTCCTTTTGATGCAGCCCAGGATACAGTTGGCTTTCTGGGCTGCAAGCGCACACTGAAGCCGGCTCATGTTCAGTTTTTCATTGACCAACTTCAGGGATTCACATCCCAAAGGCTTTATAAATGTTTATGAGTTGTCGATATGTATGGTGAAATCTGCACCAAGGATTCAGTCATGAGATGTTGTTCATTAAGTTTAGCATAAGACAAAATACAGAACATCCCCAAATATATCTCTGAAGAGAAACTGCTATCTCTAAATGCCACTTTAAGATTTAGGTTTAAAGAATAATCCCTCTATATTATATGAAAATTAGATTGTTACTGACATAGAATATTGAAAATATAAAGTAATAAAGAAGACATGTAATTTGCCCTAATATAATAACTAACATTATTGTTAGTATCGAATTGTATATAACAAAAACCCCAACCCCCCAGAGATTTGGTAGTGGCCTAAGGCTGACATCATGTCAATTCTCAAAATTAAATAAACATCCCTAGGCAATAGCCACAGTCTGCTCTGTTTGCAGCATTCCAGATTGTGATTTAGGGCTCATTTTTTTAAAGCACTTTTCTGTGTGATTGGGACTTCAATAATGTGACCTTTTTATTTCAGACACTAAAATGACTAAAAACCATGTGCACAGTCTTCCTATAACTGTAGGGGGCACATGCTGTAGATGCAGAGTTCCTTATTGGAAGTAATCTTTACTTATCTATAACTTTTTTTTTGCCACTTCCCCTTTTTCTTAAAAGTAATTTACCCATAGTTTTCAATACTCTTCTTTAAAAACTACCTTAAAAATTATTTCCATTTTAATTAGTGTTTACATTAAGGCATGTACTAATGCAAATAGTTACTTGCTCCTGTGTTATGAATTTGTATTTAAAGAATGATGAAAGAAAAATTCTGTCTCATTGGAAGTTGTTGATTAAATACTCAGATGTGGTGTTTATTTACAGAAAAGTACTCATGGTACATATTTGTGAGAAAGAAGAGTTTGGAAAGACCAGCTCCAAACACTATATTTCTCTAAGCTGGAAAGAGGTAAGATTCACTTTCTGGAAACAACGTTAGAGAAAAATGTTTTAAACAGTAGAATATATTTACAGATTCATAAAATGTCACTGAGAATCACACCTCTCACTGCAATTTGGACCTTTGAAAACACTTCCTTTTCTTGCCCTTGCCAAGGTACTACTCCTTCACAGATCTGTAGAGTATATTAGAATGCACAGGGCTGTGGAAACCTTCAGTAGCTACTGGGGTTCATCTTCAAGAAGGCAGAGTTAAAGCGTGAAGACATTAAAGAATAGATAAATAATCTGCATGCTTAATGTAAAAATTGCTGTGAGAATAGATGAGTGTCCAATTTCCTAGGTCAATCAAAAGCTTTTTGAGATTCACCTTACTGTTTTGGTTTATATCTGGGAATCTGGGGCTTTACCTGTGTGCTAAACAGTTTCTTGTTGTTAAAGGATGCCAAAGGAAATGATTTCTTTCCTGCTGTACTTGGAGTAATTCTTCCTGTAGCATACAGTTATCAACCAAACTTGACAGTAATAGCTGTTGGACCAAACAGGAGCCTTGGAATAAGTGGGATTTCTCTGCTTTTTGCTTTGCTACAAGGATTAGCTGAATCTCGCATTTTTGCAGTGATTGAGGTAAGAAGTAGTGCTAAGCTGTGGTATTTCAAAGTGGCTGGGACAGAACTGAAATCAAACAGCAGCACGTGTAGTATGAACTGCTTCCAGGCTGCCTAGTAGAAGATATTGGCTGTACCTATACTGCCTTTGGTACCCCTGAGTTCATGATGCAAGCAGCCTAAATTTCTTTCTGTCCTGAGAACAAGACACAGCTGAGTACTGGGCTGTAGGCAGCCTCCATCACTGAGAAGCTGAGGTATGAATGCAAGCCCATGGTTATGTCTATGAACAGTAGATGTTCTGACAATTTGCTACAACTTCCCTTTCCACCTGGGATTCATTCCTCAAAGCTGTCTCTTCAAAAGAGATACTTGTGTCTGTTAACTGTATGGCCTCTTTCCATGAAATGTGACTGTAAGCGGCCCACTGTAAGCGGCCCATTGGCCTGTTTATCATAAACCACTAAATTTCCTCTTCTTCTCTCCCCCATGCTGTACTTTATCACACATGATTTCAGTCATGCAGAAGGTAAATCAGAATGGCACATACCCTTTAAGTGGCCTTAACTGCCGTAATACATAACTGAGTCCCAATGTGTTTCTGGTAGAGAGGATGGCAAAGGAAATGAAGAATATACGGATCTTTCCCTAGTCTAGTTTTTCCACACATCACCACCTTAAAGATTTCTAAATTTAGGAAGTCAGACGCTGTATCCAGACCTGTGTGTGGTAAGTGTGAGCATATTTTCCATGAATTTATCTAATCTCTTAAAGAACTCAGTTTACACTCTTGGCCCCTGCAGCATCCTGTGGCTGTAACACGATTCCTGTCTGTGTTCTGTGAAACAGTAACTTTTGATTGCTTTTGTGCCTTCTAACTCTTCTTTAATGAGAAACAACTAGTAATTGTTCACATATTCTTATCTGTTCCCCAGCAAGTATCCACTTAAAGATACACTATTCATTTAGTTGGCAGTTAAGTGGGTTTTGACATACTTAATTCTGTAGTGTTCTCAAATGTCATTTAATTTGCAGTGCTGATATTTAAGCTGTCCAAGCTACAATAATTTGTACATTGATATGCAGTAGACATGAATAGTGTATTTGCATGTTACTAATTAGGAATATGAAATGGAAAGAATTATTGGTATTCTAAAGGGAAACTGGGAGGTAAAAAGGAAGTTGGGTATGCATCATTTCGAAATGGCTGGTACTTTTATACTGGTACTGTGCAGGTAGCTCCATAATAAGTTTATGTAATTTTTGGGGAGTTTCTAATGCATGTGTTTGGCTTTTTAGAATAATTGAAAAATACTTCTGTCTCTTAAAAATAAAATAGTGTTGCAGTCTTCCAAATTAAATAATCTTCACATGCTATCAACATTTCACGATAGAATTTCTGCGAGCAAATGATATTGATTTGAACTGTCGGAGTCCAGAAAAGTCACTTCTTGATGAAGGAAAATATATCTCTATTTTCTACCTATAGAAAGTAAATGGTGCACGAAATAAACAAGCTGCATGGCCCCCTTCCTGCCTAATATTTTCTGTCTTTAACCCAGCATTATTTCTTTTCAGTCACTAAAGGAAAACTGAGATTACTTCTCTGAAAGAAACAAATTTTACAGGAGATAAAAAATAATTTGCCTTTATCAGTAAAACCTTCTCCATTTTGACACATTTTTATTTGAAAAAGGAAAGTTCCTCATTCTTGCTACTAATACTAGTAACTTAATTACAAAAGCTTGTTTTAAAGTACTCCATGTATTACTGAAACGAAGAAAGTTTGGTTACCAGAAGTATTTTTTTTCTTCTTAAATAGGATACGGAGATAAACTTAGTGCAAAGTGTAGCCAAAGCATTAGTGGGTACTTCTACACCTCACTTTGGAGTTTTTGTACCTCCTACCCAGGAAAAAGTAAAACAAATAAAAATATTAAGAGACCAATTTCAGCAGGAATGGAAAATGCTTCAGTGTTCAGGTAAGCTGTCTGGTTTTATCTTTAGATACGCAAGTTTCTGAAAAGATGGTAAAAAAAACAGCTGGATCCTTGTAGTCAGTGGGATATTGAAGTCAGTGGGAACAATTGATCTAATGTGAAAAGCATGAAATTCTGAATGCTTTAATTCTGCCACTTCAGCCAGAAGGCACCAAAATTCATAGCATAGTAAGTGTACCCTTGGGAACTTTGAATACTGTTACTCCAAAATCTTGAAGTGAAACGACCAAAATGTTAAATGCTTAAAGAACAGTTAGTAAGATGTGAGATGTGCACTGGCTCTGACTCCTAATGTGTTTTCTGAATATAGTGCCAAATCAGGTGACACTTTCATGCATTCATCCCATCCACAAATAACTTCACTGAACAGACTACTACCCGCTGCTGGTCTTCCAGACAGGTGAGGAGTAAGCTGCTTCCCGCAGTCTGAGGGGGATGAAGAAAGACTACAGGGCCTTGGGGCAGATGGTGAAAGAGTCTGGGGCTCAAGTGATCTTCTCCTCTCTCCTTCCATCTTCCACTGATGATGTGGGAAGGAATGGGAAGATTCAGTTCATAAACGATTGGCTTTGAGACTGGTGCTACAGGCAGGGCTTTGGATTCTTTGATAACAGCTGGTTTTATAGGGCACCAGTCTGGACAATGACAAGTGGGAAAGGTTTGTCTCACAGAGGCAAAAGGATGCTGGGGCACGAATTAGCAGGGCTCATTTGGAGGGCTTTAAACTAGATTCAAAGGGGGATGGGGTTGTAGCTGGGCTTGCCCCAGTGGGGCAGCACTCCAGAATTGATGAAGACTGGGAGGCCCCCTATAATCCTAGGGTGAAATCGGTGTGCTCAGCTCGCTCCCTGGAATGTCTGTACACAATGCGTGCAGCATGGGAAGTAAGCAGGAGGAGTTAGAAACCTGTGTTAAGTCAGGAGATTATGATCTGGTGGCAATTACAGAGACGTGGTGGGACAGCTCACATGACTGGAATATAGTCATGGAGGGCTATGTCCTCTTCAGGAAAGACAGGCCAGCCAGGAGGGGTGGTGGGGTTGCTCTTTATGTGCAAGAGCAACTACAATGCACTGAGTTCTGTCCAGGGACAGATGACGAGCGAGTTGAGAGTCTGTGGGTGAGAATTAAGGGGCAGGCTGGCAGGGGCGATACTGTTGTGGGTGTCTGTTACAGACCCCCAGATCAGGGTGAGGAAGTTGACGAGGCCTTCTACAGGCAGCCGAGAGCGGCCTCACAGTCACAGGCCGTGGTCGTCGTGGGGGATTTTAACTTCCCTGATGTTTGCTGGAAGGACCACTCGGCAACCCAGCCACAGTCCAGGAGGTTCCTCCAGTGTATGGATGATAACTTCCTCCTGCAAATGGTGGATGAGCCAACCAGGAGAGGAGCGCTGCTGGATCTCATCCTCACTAACAAGGAGGGTCTGGTCGAAGCAGTAAGGGTTGAGGGCTGCCTTGGTTGCAGCGACCACAAGATGGTGGAATTCAGGATCTTGTGTGGTAGGACCAGTAGAATAGCAAGTAGAATTGCAACCCTGGACTTTAGCAGGGCAAACTTTGGCCTTTTCAAGCAATCCCATGGGCAAGGCTGTTTGAAGGTAAAGGGACCCAAGATAGTTGGTTGACGTTCAAGGATTGCTTTTTCCGAGCTCAAGATCGGAGCATCCCGACACGTAGGAAGTCAAGGAAGAGGGCCAGGAGACCTGCGTGGCTAAATAGGGAATTGCTGGGTATGCTTAAGTGGAAGAGGAGAGTTTACAGGTCATGGAAGGAGGGGCTAGCCACTTGGGAGGAATATAAGGCTGCTGCTAGAGGATGTAGGAAGGCAGCTAGGATGACTAAGGCCTCCTTAGAATTAAACCTGGCGAGAAGGGTCAAGGACAGCAAAAAGAGCTTTTTCAAATACACAGCAGATAAAACTAACACCAGAGGCAGTGTAGGCCCACTGATGAACGGGATGGGTGCCCTGGTGACAAAAGATACAGAGATGGCAGAGTTACTGAATGCCTTCTTTGTCTCTGTCTACTCTGCTGCGGGCAGTCCTGAAGAGCCCTGTACCCCTGAGACCTTAGATGAAGTCAGGTCAACGGAGCGGTTTCCCTTAGTCGATGAGGAATGGGTTAGAGACCAGTTGAGCAATCTGGACATCCATAAATCCATGGGTCCAGATGGGATGCACCCGCGGGTGCTGAGGGAACTGGCGGAAGTCATTGCTAGACCACTTTCCATCATCTTTACCAAGTCTTGGGAAACGGGAGAGGTGCCTGAGGACTGGAGGAAAGCAAATGTCACTCCAGTCTTCAAAAAGGGCAAGAAGGAGGACCCGGGTAACTATAGACCGGTCAGCCTCACCTCCATCCCTGGGAAAGTGATGGAACACCTTATCCTTGGTGCCATCTTAAGGCATATCAAGGATAAGAGGGTTACGAGGAGCAGTCAGTATGGCTTCACCAAGGGGAAATCAGGCTTGACCAATCTCTTAGCCTTTTATGAGGAAATAACACGGTGGATGGATGATGGCAGAGCGGTGGATGTGGTCTATCTTGACTTCAGCAAAGCATTTGACGCAGTCTCCCACAGCATCCTCACAGCTAAATTGAGGAAGTGTGGTCTGGATGATCAGGTAGTGAGGTGGACTGTGAGCTGGCTGAAGGAGAGAAGCCAGAGAGTTGTAGTCTATGGGGCTGAGTCTAGTTGGAGGCCTGTAACTAGTGGAGTGCCTCAAGGGTAAGTACTGGGACCAGTATTATTTAATATATTCATCAATGATTTAGATGAGGGAATTGAGTGTACTATGAGCAAGTTTGCTGATGACACTAAGCTGGGAGGAGTGGCTGACACGCCAGAAGGCTGTGCTTCCATCCAGCGAGACCTGGACAGGCTGGAGAGTTGGGCAGGGAATAACTTGATGAAATATAACAAGGGAAAGTGTAGAGTCCTGCATCTGGGCAGGAACAGCCCCAGGTTCCAGTATAGGTTGGGAAATGACCTGTTAGAGAGCAGTGTAGGGGAGAGGGACCTGGGGGTCCTAGTGGACGACAGGATGACCATGAGCCAACACTGTGCCCTTGTGGCCAAGAAGGCCAATGGCATCCTGGGGTGTATTAGAAGAGGGGTGGTTAGTAGGTCGAGAGAGGTCCTCCTTTCCCTCTACTCTGCCCTGGTGAGACCGCATCTGGAATATTGTGTCCAGTTCTGGGCCCCTCAGTTCAAGAAGGACAGGGCAACTAAGATGATTAAGGGAGTGGAGCATTTCCCTTATGAGGAAAGACTGAGGGAGCTGGGTCTCTGTAGTTTAGAGAAGAGGAGACTGAGGGGTGACCTTATTAGTGTATATAAATATGTAAAGGGGGAGTGTCACGAGGATGGAGCCAGGCTCTACTCAGTAGCAAACAATGATAGGACAAGGGGTAATGGGTACAAACTGGAACACAAGAGGTTCCACTTAAACTTGAGAAGAAACTTCTTCTCAGTGAGGGGAACACTGGAACAGGCTGCCCAGGGAGGTTGTGGAGTTTCCTTCCCTGGAGACATTCAAAACCCGCCTGGACACATTCCTGTGTAACATTACCTAGGTGTTCCTGCTCCAGCAGGGGGATTGGACTAGATGATCTTTTGAGGTCCCTTCCAATCTCTAGCATACTGTGATACTGTGTAACTCAGTAGTTATTAGTCATGCTGAGGTACTGCAGATAAACTTTTGTTTTTCAATGGAAAAAGCAAGGATAAAGGTGGGCATCTCTCTGAAGGAGAATGCCCGTCTCTCCTTCAGAAGAAATGGCGAAGAGCAGTGTTCTGGTTCCAATAAAAATGTTCTTACTGGGTTGGGAATTGGGGTATGATCTTTGATTAACAGTTCTTCTTACTGGTCTTTTCAGTGAAGGATGGGATTTCAAGAAGTTGACTTCAGAATCATTTTACACAGCAGAAGAAAATGTGTTGCTGTTCATGTTGCCTTTTAAATCACCAGGAAAAGAGCTGGTCAATCTCTAAACAGAGTGAGGGTCATTTACAATTATCTTCTGTTTTTAAAACCGTTTAAATGAGTATTTTCAGCTGGAGAACTCTGCAAATTCTATATCGGCACTAGTTATTTGGGACTGATGCCTGAAACAATTCCTGTACTTCATGACTACAAACTGGGGCCTGTGTCGTTTGTGACATTGTAAAGCAGGCTTGTATGCAGTAGCTTGACTCAAGTTCAAGAATTCCAGAAGACAGGCATCTGAAATGAGCAATCATAACAGCCAAAACATTTTAGTACTATTCAACATTATGCAAAAGTGCTTACACTGCTGCCACTACCAATGCTTCATTGGGAGTTTAAGCTTAACAACCATTATCATCACAAGTGTGATACAGGACATGCACACACTGTAGGTGTTCAGCTGCTTTTCTTCCTTTTTACAACTGACAACTGTCCATTAGAAAAATTAAAAGAACAGACAATGTTAGGTGAATCCTTTGTATCAGATTATGAAATAAAATTTCACTTGTGATGATAATGGGAATGGGCATGAGAGAAAAAAGAAAAATTGCATTTATAACCTGACATAATTGAATAGAGCAGTGTAGAGGGGACTTCACTCACCCTTCTTTCCAAACGTAGCTTGTTTCTGTGACAGATAAAAACCCCAAACCCCCAGAGGTTTGGTAGTGGTCTAAGGCTGACATCATGTCAATTCTCAAAATTAAATAACATCCTGAGGCAATAGCCACAGCCTGCCCTATTTTGCAGCATTCCAGATTGTAACTGAGGGCTCATGTTTAAGAGCACTTCTCTGTGTGACTGGGACTTCAATAATGTGACCTTTTAATTTTAAACACTAAAAATGATGTTTATACTGGTGTTGCTGCTGGGATCAGCTTGACATTATCTTAGTAACTAAATCTGTCTTTGCAATTTTCTGTTCTCACTGATACCCTTCTCATTGGCACTGCTTTCCAATGCCAATCCTTGAACATTTTGAACTGAAAATCTATTTCAAAAGAAACTAAAAGCCATGTCAAGCATTTTCACAAATGAAAGTTGAAGACAATTAAGATTCTGCTTTAAACTCAACTTCAAATTCCAAAAAGTAATTACTTTAAATTGGAAGCTGTGCAATGGCAAATGTTAACTTCAGAACTTTTCAGAACAGATTTTTTTTTGTTAATTATTCTCTCTCCACTGGAAAAAAAAGAAATAAATAAATAGATAAATAAAACTGACAGTTCAGCATTTTCAAGGGTAAAAACAACAAACCCAAACATTTTCTCAGAAATAGCTTTTACTTGCCTTCATTCAGCTGAATTTTTACATGGTTTGAATTATGAAATGTCGTATTTTGCTATGTATTTTTCTAAGATCTTGATGCATTTTATTAAAACATGAATTAAGATGAAAACCGTGTGCTCTTGGTAGAACTAGTTTGTAAGTGTGGTCAGCCGGCTGCAGCCACAGTGTGCAGCCCGGGCCCCGACCGTGGTTTATTGCTCTCTGTTACCGCTGTGTTATTTCGCGTACGCTGGGCTCACCCGATACGTGCACGCACCGCAGGGATGGGTTGCACCCCGCCAGCTCTGCAGCCCGGCGCTGTTGGACCGCGCCGTGCTCACGGCGGCACCGCAGCACTGCTGCGAGGCCACGGGACCTTGCACGTGCGTGTCCAGCACCGCCCTTAGCCCCGCATGCCCGGGGCCTCCTCGCGGCTCGTCGCGCTGGCGTGACGTCAGCGCCGTGTTTGTCGGCCCGCGAAGGGGGAAGGAGCGGCTGAGGCGGCCCCGGCAGCCGCCACAGGTACGGCGGGAGCGGGCCGGGAACGGGGCTGGGGCAGGGTGCTGTCAGCGTGCGTTGCTGGGAGCGAGCAGGGGCGGCAGGGCTGGGCCCAGTGGATCCCCAGCGATCCAGCCCCGCCGCGGGAGCTGCTCCGGGTGGTGCTGTCAACCCCCGCGCGTTTTCTGCGGGTACTCCGGAGCCGCCCCGGGGGCGGCCGGTGCCGATGCAGCCCAGCCCTGCCCTGCCCTGCCCTGCGCTGCCCTGCGCTGCCCGTCACCATCAGCACCCGTGCTTCTTTGCCCTCATCTTCTCGGCCGCTCTCTTCGTGGCCCCGTGGCTTCTGCGGCGGGGGCTGCGCTGGGGAGAGCGGGGTGGTGGTGTCTCCTGAGAGGATACGGGGTGGTAAAGCTCTGGAGGTGTTCCCACAGAAATCCTTTATTAGATCAGGGCAGTCTTCTCTCTTCTATTTCAGTGTGCCGAGCAAAATCAGGCGCTTGGAATTAAGCTTGCACCACCATCAGTATGCTTGTGATCAAAGTCATGCTGTTATTTTTATAGCTTGTGTCCTAAATATATGCTAGGTCAGTTTTCTTCTCTCTAGTTTTGGGCTGTCTTAATTTAAGTTAAAGCACACTCATCTGTTTTATACACATCACGAGTGTTTCTTCCTGGTATTTTTCAGATCTATGCATGAAACCAGAGCCCTGGACTGTAACTGCTGTAACCTAACAGTTTGATTTGAAATGGAGAGCATTACCCAGTTGTTCAGTGATTTGTGTGAAGCACACTTGACAGGTTTGCCATGGAAGGTCCACCTGGGCAGGCAGAAGATCAGCAAGAGAAGGGCTAAGCACAGTCTGAAAAGGGTTGCTTATAATGCCCTGTTCATGAACCTTTTTCAAGAAGAGGCTCGTAAGCTGCAGTCAAACGCTTCCAGGCTGCCAGTAAAAAACAAAATCTTGATGCTGTCTTTCAACTTAAGAGTTGCTGGCCTCGGTGCTCAGGCAGATAGACTGGAGAATCTTGTGGAGGAACTGGAAACAGCTGAATGCTTACCATTTACTGAAGTTAGCGCTGTCTTAGATCTCCTGGTACAGCTTGCTGGAACAGGGCCTCCCCAGCTTGTATCACAAAAAAAGGACTATTTTCTGAACAACAAATACGTTGGTAGAAATGTCAAGTATCAAGGTTATGACTATTACGATGTAAGTGTATTTGAAGCTGATATACAATCTCTAATAACAAACGAAGAATGTCAGTTCAATGACACAATTCAGAAGACTCTTCAGATCATGGAAGCTGCCCCTGGCACTGGGCTCCCTGCCATAGGGCTCTTCTCACGGGACTGTCTGGTTGGGGACAGGTTTGAGAAAGAAACACGGGTCTCACTCTTCGGTGCCCTTGTCCACAGCCGTACCTATGACATGGACATCAAACTGGATTTACCGCCAGTGCCTGACAATGCAGATTTGTCTGGACTTGCAATTAAAGTATGGTATCATTTGTTTTGGACTTGAACGTATGCATGCTTTCAATACGCCACTTTGAAACTATAGTTCAAACTATAGGTAGTTGTTTAATTTGTAAGAGAAGCATACAGTGTTGGAATTAAAGATGAAGCAGGTATCCTTTTCTGTACTCCTAATCCTCATTTTGTTCCTTGTGCTTAACATATGGATAGCTTTTGCAGTTCCCTTAACTCAGGATCTTAAATGAAACTTGAAGGTAGAGAGATTAAAAAAGGAAAACCCCTGTGGCACATAATGGATGCAAGTTGTAACTTAGGGGAGGCAGAACCTTTCTGAGTAAGTGCTGCACTCTTTCCATCAGACTGGAAAATTTGTGATTTTTTGAAGAACGTGCTGCTTTTTACGTGGGTACGATTGTCTTTTACTGAAGTTGAATAGTGTTCTGCACATACAACTGCTGAGTGGGAGCTGAGGATATGGCAAATACACTGTTTGGAAACCTGCAGGTTTTCCGCATATGAATAAGCATAAGGGAACAAACTATGTTAGTCAGAGTTAACAAAATGTTTACAAATTTTAATAATTAGGGCCTGGATCACTTGCTCAAATTAAATACCTAGCAGTATGATTTTGTTTGTGTAACATATTGAATATGCAGACATCAAGTTCTCAACTTGTAGAACTATATGCTTACCAAAGGAGTAAGTTTGGAGTTTAATACCCACAAATTTAGTGTATGATTTTGGTGGTGATTGTTGTTTTATGTATAGGCATTAGTATCAGTAGAGGCTTACCAAATGGAAAGAGTGCCTACAGGGAAAAAATCAAAATAGATGTAAAGGGAGGGCTCACAACACAGGCTTTGTTATGTAGAGTCCTTTGATCATGAGTGATAGCAGGAAATCATCTTTATTAGCATATATTTCTTCAGTAAAATGTTTCAATGTATAACATTTGAACTCTCTCACAGGTTCCCCAAAGTATAGACCAGTCAGAAGATGAGGGATTCCAGTCAGCATCCAATCTGACTCCAGATTCTCAGTCAGAGCCAAGCATGACTCCAGACATAGACTTGTGGGATGCAGTGCTTACATATGGACCCAGCAAACGAAGATGTTGGGAAAGAATTGGATAGTATGTGTCTGCACTTAATGGCAAATTTATTATGCTTCACATGCAAATGTATGGAGATGCATTTCATCTTAGTTCCAAATGACCTCAGTATAAATGATGAAATATTAATGTTTAATTCACAACATTCAATATACTGCATTAATGATTGAGAAAGGAATAGCGGTCATGCAGTTTCAACAGGCTAGTTCTTGGATTGCAGCTGTTTCATAGGAAGGGAGAAAATCGTCTTTGTCAAAACCGCTGAAGGGATTATGGGAGTGCTTGCTGTTTGTGTGAAATGCAACATTTTTGTAACTAATCTGACTTCTTTTGCACTATACAATTTATCTCAGTCAAAAATGGTCCCATATTTTCAGTTTCAAAAGAGAAAGTGTAGAGCACTAGGATAATCAAACCCGTATCTCCCAGTACTGTACGCTATTGTATTCATTTTCCCTGTCTATAACCAAAACAGAAATTATTACTGTGGATTTCTTGATGGTGTAGTTAGAGTTGTAGTTCTTTTGGCTGTTGAGTAGAAGATGAATCCCCTGAGAGGACACTGTATAGCACTGTTAAAGCTTCCTGGCTTCCCTAAAATGGAAGAAAAAAGGAAAAGGAAGGTATGGCAGGGATCCTCCTTATAGATAGTATTGTGCCTGATTCCCGGAGACACATCTAGTGATGTGTCTGTGGTATTGTTGCATACTGTTTTTTCAGCTCTGAGCCTGAGAAGCTCACAAGTTTCCTAATGTGATTTTTTAAAGCCCCTCTAGCATGCTCAAGCTTTGTTTCTAATTATGACAGGTTTTTTTGCTACCATTGAGACTGCAAGGATCTTAGAGTCATATACAGACCATATGCCTGGCAGCTTTCATGTAATGCATGCTACTAGAATTCAGAAATTTTTGAGTAATTGGAAGGAGACATTGGTTTGGAGGGCACAGTAATCATCACTGGGAAGATACCAAATATATTAATACAAGTTACTACAGCATTTTGAGTATATTGCTCTTGAACATATTTGAATATTGATATTACATGCACCCTGGAAATCTGGTATATATTGACTCCATTTTCTTAATGTGAAAACTGCATCAGGGAAGGCCACAGAAGAGGCTGGTAGTTATCTATCATGATTTCTGTCTCTGATGTTCAAATTATCTACCTGTTTCTTCATTGTACTGAGTCTGGGCTACAGTTTCATTGATGGAATACACATTCCCTTGAAAATGTCTACTTTTCTGTGGTCACTACTGGCTGTGTAAAATTCTGAAATGCTGGTTTTGATTTAGGAGTTATATTTCCTTCTTTTCATATAAACACATTGTAACATTGTGTTTGCTCCGACACAGTCCACCTGGTAAGAAAGAGGAACCCTATCTTACTGAAGCTGGGAGAGAAGCTTTTGATAAATTTTACAAACTTCGAGAAGGGGAGTTACAACTGTTCAGCAATACCGTGCTTCAGCTTCCACAGCTTGTACTAATGAAAGAACCTGAACTGGTTAAGGATGTCTTGAATGTCCTCATTGGTGTGGTATCTACTACATTTTCACTCAATCAGGTATGGAAGATTTTTAACTGTGCTTCTTAGTCGAATCT